GCCACTGCGTCCAATGGTAAATCGATTCGGTGGGTGTTTTTGTTTGGGCTCTGGCCCCGTTTTTTGGGTTTTGTTGTGTTTTCTGCTGTTTGCTTCGCTGTTTCCGCTGGCGAAACGCAAGTCTGGCTGGGGGATTTGCGGGTCGTCGTTTTTTGTTTGGTTGTGGTTTTCGGTTTTGTTGCTTCAATCGATTTGCCGACTCCAAGGACCTTTGTCCTTGTACAGTGTATTTCCTGCTTACTCTCATGTAAGGACCGAGCCATTAGCGCGACATCGGCCACACTCGAGGAAAAAAAATGATAAGAACTCTACAAGCAGGTTTCGAATGATCTGTCCACCATCCTCACCAGCTCCACCCGGGATGGGGATCATCTTGATAAGGGCTTGTTGCAGGTCCAGTTCTGTCTCAATCACGTGATCTCGAACATCCTTACCTTCAATGGCCACAGTATGCAACTCCATGCACCCCTCACCAGCTGCTTTCAAGAGAGGCTCCAGGGTAGGCTTGAAGTGGTCAGGGAGGTCAAAACTTACCCATGAAAGGACCCTGAGACCTTCGCATCTGATACCATGCGGGATCACATTCGGATGAGTGATTTGCAGTTGATCGAACCGATGGGTGCCTTCATCCAAGTCCACAAAGAGCAGGTGGCCATACGCATGCTTTGCTCGACGAAGCCACCCTGTGGAACCTTCTAGGAGGATGAGGTTATACCCAAGTTCTTTTGGATCAGTAGGACGCCACACGCATAGCCGGTCTTCTGGATCAGGGTGACTTTACGTTCCCCCGTAGCGAGTCTCATCAGCTCCGGCGGTGCTGCAATGGCAGCTACCTTGGTATCACCAGGAAAGCAGGCAAAATCGCTCAGGACGCTGTGTCAAGTCCAGTATACGACCCTGCTGAGAAGCCGCTTACGTCTACTTGACGGGCACCATTAGGGACGATAAGCTTCATCATGTCAGGGTAACAAGCTTGTAACAGCAAAATTTTTCCTTGAGGATGGTAGCATCTGATGATTTGCCGGACTGCTGTGGTCCATGTCGGACTTGAAGCGTACCCTTCAGAAGGGTGCCTTAAGGGGGCTTCGAAGAGTACCTTAAAGGGGAGCTAAAGGGGGGGCTCAAGCGACGGCTTAAGGCTTCCTTTGAAAGACCCCATTAAGCCCCCCTTAAGCAACCCCTTAACTTCCGAAGTATTCTTCAAGCCCTCCTTTAAGCTCCTTCTTAAGCACCCTCTCATCCTCCTTAAGGCACCCCTTAAGCTCTCCCTCAAGCTCCTCCTTAAGCCTCCCCTAAAGCCACCCCTTAAGCCCCCTTAAGGTACCCTTCGAAGACCCCTTAAGATACCCTTCTGAAGGGTACCTTTCAAGCCCTCCTGAAGTCCCCTTGAAGTCCCCCCTGAAGCTCCCCCTTAAGACACCCTTCATACAAAGGGGGTGGCCTTACATATTTAGCACCGGACATTGTGTTGCAAAGCACAATACACTCTACGTAGATGTCGTGGTATTTGGTACACCATAAGATCTGCGATATTGTCCTTTGGACACCTATTTGCCCTGGGTGTCGTGATGGGAATGGCCTTGCCAATTGCCCTTGTACTACTTGATGTGGTCATCACCAGTCTTGATGACCTGGTACTCTATTGGGAATGGAGCTGAATCCGGACACTGCATCAAGATGGACACATTTGGTATCCATCGTGTATCTTGTATATCTGGTGATTCTGCATCGTATGGTTATCTCGTGATTTCATCGAAATACTTCCCACTGTATGAAATTACACCGGTTTGTCCCAAGCCATCATACTGGATGTATCTGGAAGGAGTGAATTCATCCAAGAATTCACGTGGAAATGGACGGCCTATGTTGGATAGATTTGTTTTGGACAAGTGTCATCTACGGATGAGCTATATGATATGTGGTTTTCAACGTTTTCTGGAAGCTTGCATTCTGCATGATGTTTTCGACAAGTGTCAATGACGGTTGATTATGTTTTTGTGCAAAACAATGTTTGCTGGAAACTGGTCTTTGGAGAGTTGCGGAAATTTGATGTGAAGATGATGGAATGCTGGATTTGCCATTGCATGGCAATTTGGATGTCGTTTGTTTTCTTCGCATGTGCATGCTCGACAACGAACTCCAAACCTTTGTCAACCTGGTTTTATTTCAACAACTTTGTGGACGAGATGTTTGTGACAAAGGTTTGCATCCTGCATGTGAGCAAGTGGAAACTTTGTTTTGCCAAGTGGAATGTTTTTCAAACAACGTTTGCATGGCCGACTTTTTCACCGAGAACTCTGGGATGATTTTTTTTGGCTCTGAAATTTGATGCTCCAGCACGGTGCACGTCAACAGAATAAAAGACAGAAAGGAAACACCAACGGCACAGTGGCAAGTAGCCTGGACATTTGACTTTGTCCCTTTCGTGTTGCGTGTGTGTGAAAAGGTGAGAGCGAAGTTGAGCACTTGGAAGTTTGAGGTTTTGGGCTTGCGTGTTTTTGCAAACAATTTATCGGCATCGCCGCTACTGCTTGGACCGCAAGCGCAGGAACGGCGCGTACGCGGCCAGTGGTTGTAACCCTGAATTTTCGCATAGTAGCGGAGCTTCGGCTCAGGCGTAGGACGCGAGTAAGATGATCCAGGGAGGAGGTAATTCAGGAGAGATGCAACCACCAGGATTACGAACGCCGATGGCACCAGGTTCGCCTACTAGATTAGAAGCAGGGCAAGCGAATGGTGCGGAAGCGACTTTGCCAACCGGTAATGTAAATGCAGGTGCCCCAGGTGAGTAGGAATTCTAGGCACAGCAGCTGCGAGCTCAGTTGGTGTCGGGACTTAGTTGGTGGTCCAAGCATGCTGCCGATGACAAGTGGGTACGGGCCAGAAAGGAAATAGGGAGGTCTCATGGACCCAAGCGACTGCAAAAACTTGGCAAATGGCGTATGGCTTTTCAACACCTGCTCATTGAATTCCAAATCCGCAGGATGTCTGAAGAAGGGGCGCCAACACCGGGCACTCTAGGGGCTGATTCACCATGTCGCTCAGCTGGCGTCGCACCCTCGCCACTGCCCTTGCCAGGAGCAACAGTTATAGTTCGCAAACGTCCGCAGTTGCTGCGGACGGAAGGTTCTCCGCCCCCTCCTTCTTGCCTTTCTTGCCGGTCTTGCCCCGGCCCTTCGCTGCCGTCTCGGTCTTGGTGCCTTTGGTGCCAAACTCTTCGGCCCGCTTTCCTTTTCCACCAAGTTTCGCTTTCTTGTCCTGATACCCTGCCAAATCCTTGAGCTTGGCCAGGAAGAGTTCCACCCACCTGGGATCCAGGAGCTGGGTGTGGCCCGTGAGTTTGCAAGTGAAAAGCTCAGTGACACATATGCTCCAGCGACAGGGTGTCACACTTTAGCTTTGATTCCCCTGATCTACTTCAAGATGCTGGGAGATGAGCCTGATGAACATGCAGTGATGGCTCTTATTACAAGGCGACACTTGCTCACTGGACATCTAGGACATTCCTTCAGGTGCCCCAAGACAAAATCATTGGGGCCGAGCTCTACAACACCCAATACCTGGTCTTACGCACCTACCAGAGCAGCAGGTGCTTGTTACTGGCACTTTAGAAACTACGTGTCTGAAACGTTGGATTGCTGCTGGTGCAATACTGGACGGTGCACAGTTGATGGAGTGCACAACACTTCTATGATTCACCTTGATGACCTTTTGTTTGCTGGCAGCTATGACTTTTGGATCAACAAGTTCCTTCCAGCAATGACTTTAAAGTTCAGCCTAAGTTGCAACGAACTGAAAGATGTTGGCAGCAGCAGATGTTTCCTCAAAATGAAGTTGATCAAGTTGTCAGATGGTTTGATGGTTGTGCCTGGTACAACAACAGAGCGTGTTGTGGTTTGTTTTGAGAGGTCATTTGGACCAGCTCGTGCCTTGTCCATACCAAATGCTGATACTTCACAGCACTTGACAACTTCACAGCTCTTGACAACAGCTGATGGACGTGCGTACCGCAGTGTGATTGGCTTGCCGCTCTACTTAGCAAGAGAAAGGATGGATGTGATGTTTGCTGTGACAGAGCTGGCCACTTGCATGTTTGGTGCGACTCTTTGTGTGTTGCAACGACTGCGGAAGGTCATTGGGTACCTGAAGACCAGTGGGGACGTGGGTGTCAAGCTGGTTGTACCCCAAGCCGGCTCAGGAAAATGGAAGTCAGGAGGAGAACAGTTCTGGCCTGTGGAGACGTTCAGGAAAATGGAAGTCAGGAGGAGAACAGTTCTGGCTTGTGGAGACGTTTGCAGATGCAGATTGGTCAGCGAACAAGCAGCACAGAAAATTTACCAGCAGTGCCATTCACTTTGTCAACGGAAGATTTGTCTACGCTTCTTCAAGGAGCCAGCGTGTTGTGTCCCCTCCCTCAGCTGAAAGTGAGCTTCACAGCATGGTGTCAGGTTGCTCAGACGGAATTTACATCAAAAGATTCTTGGAGTTTATTTTGACTGGTAAGGAGGTTGACCACTATCAGTGGACAGACAACAGCGCAGCGAGACAGCTGGTCTCACAACAAGGCGTTGGGAGGATCAGGCATCTTAGCGGAAAGCTACTATGGGTGCAGGACTTGGTCTTGTCCAGATAGCTAGCAGTTGGCCAGATAGCCACCGAGTGGAACTCAAGCGACATTGGGACCAAACCCTTACGCAAAAGTCGGTTGATGATCCTTCTGAATCAAATTGGCGCCATGGAATGGATCCCATCAACCCTCAGATGATGCAGTTTCAAGTCGCTTGAAAGGACAGCAAAATTTGGAGCGCGTTGCAAAAGCAATTTTTCGAATGGCAGCTTTGTGGGGGTCTTTAGTCACTTGCTCAGAATGGTGCACAGGCAGCGGAAATTACTAGCAATGGTGATACATGCGTTGCTGATGACCAGCCAGTCACATACAATTCTGAGACTTGGTGGCTTTCCTGTTTTTGCTTTGGACAGTTTTTGCAGTGACAGCATACATGGCTTGGAAGAAGGTGAGCAACTACGTTTTCCACTGCTGGAACCAAGTAGGTGACGAAGATGCCTACATTGCAGAACAAGCGCATCGAATCAACATGCTGGATGGAAGGTTCTACGAACTTGGTGAGCGTGTGACTGAGACATGCAACGAGCTCAGTATGACTCACGACCACGTGTCCGGGGTGCACACGCATTGGTTGACGGAGGTGGTTTCCTTCGCAGCGGATTGGGTCTGACAAACGATCAGTGGATCCATCTGAACACATTGGAACGCGCCAACATGGTGGCACATCACACTATGGGGACACCAAACTACATGGCAAGCGGCTGATAGAACGCCGCCTGTTTTTCCAACCGTTGCAAGTTCACTTTCCCTGTGTTTTCTCAGGGATTTCTGCGTTTGTCTATTTTTTGGACCCTGTCAAATCCTGCGACAAACTACTTCGCTTTATCATTGTTGTATCTGTCAGGTATATCTCTTTCTATCACAAGGGTTGCAGGACATGAACTAAATTTTGATAGACTTCGTAAGGACTAGCGCAAGGTGTCCTAATTCTGTACAACCATTGTTTTATCGAAGTGTCGATTTCTGGGTGCATCTTGTTGGATCCTAAGCTCCCTTTGATTTTGCGAGGGAAAGTTGATCCATTGAATTTAAAGAAACGTGGGACATAGTCAAGCAAAAGCGTAACATCAAGAGTGTGCTAGAAGTTGACTGAAGAAGTGCAGAGCGTAACATCAAGAGCGCGTGAGAAGTTACTTGAAGAAGTGCAGAGCGTAACATCAAGAGCGTGCTAGAAGTTACTTGAAGAAGTGCAGAGCGTAACATCAAGAGCGTGTTAGAAGTTACTTGAAGAAGTGCCGGGCGTGACATCAAGAGCGTGTTTGAAGTTACTTGAAGAAGTGCCGAGCGTAACATCAAGAGCGTGTTTGAAGTTACTTGAAGAAATGTAGAGCGTATCATCAAGAGCGTGCTAGAAGTTACTTGAAGAAGTGCAGAGTGTAACGTCAAGAGCGTGTTAGAAGTTACTTGAAGAAGTGCCGAGCGTGACATCAAGAGCGTGTTTGAAGTTACTTGAAGAAGTGCAGAGCGTAACATCAAGAGCGTGTTAGAAGTTACTTGAAGAAGTGCAGAGTGTAACGTCAGGAGCGTGTTTAGAAGTTACTTGAAGAAGTGCAGAGCGGAACGTCAAAGTTACTTGAAGAAGTGCAGAGTGTAACGTCAAAAGCGTGTTAGAAGTTACTTGAAGAAGTGCACAGCGTAACATCAAGAGCGTGTAAGAAGTTACTTGAAGAAATGCAGAGCGTGTTCGACGAACTGTGCACATGACGGTAATACCCCCCCACCCCCCCACCCCACCCCATCGACAGAGCAAGAACGCGTGAGAAAAGTAGGCGAGACAGAAAAACGCACGAAAGCTGGCGGCCTTCTATCCAACGGCCAGCGAACTACATGCAGCTGGTGAGACAACGTGTTGGTGCAGTTGGAACAGCAGATTCAACTGATGCAAATCCTGGACATGAAGCTGGTGAAAACGAACCTCAGGAAGATGACATGGAGGTTGATGCTGACAACCCCAGCGTCGGCTACGGACAATCCATACAAGAGATGTACGAAACTCTGAAGCAGGAACAGCGGCTCTGCTTGATTGATGGTGAGATTCGTGATGCCTCTACCATCCAAAACCTGATGCTGGCAGTGCTGCAGACGACCCAGATTGGTCTGCCAGCAGGAACAGCCAGACCTCTGAGGAGCCGAGTTGCCACGACCTTCAGTGACATGGCAGCTACGGCCAGAAACCAACAGAGATGGGAGAGCGCAGACAGATTTCAAGCACTGGCTGCAACCTACAGTGGATGAGACCTTTTGCAAAGCAAAACAACTTTTCTGACAAATGTGACGTCTCAGATACAAGCACTGAGATACCGCAACAGAGAGCTGGGAAAACCCAAAGGTGAAACAGCGAACCGTGCTCACTCTTTCAAGGGGGAGCGCGTAGAATTTGCAGTGGTTGAGACAGTTTTTGCAACAGCATGGGATGACTTGCGCAAATCGAGATGAGTAATCACCAATCATATGTGAAAATCACAAGTGAAAATCACAAGTGAATATCCAGGCCCCTTTTGGCTGAAAAGAGACGCTGCCCGCTTCGCAAAATCACATCCCCCGAAGATCAAACGGCCCCCAGAAACCATGGTGGACATAAGGGATTTAGACATATTTGGGACCATTTCGGGGGTGTTGACTAGCACGGGGATGGGATCAGTTGAATGATATTTTCTTCAAACTGAAGTTGCGCAACCCCTAGAAACTTAATTGCGGCAATCGCACAATTTACCATTTTCATCAAGTATGCGTATATGCCTATATCAATGTTTACGTGTGTATGTATTTAAATCTCTATGTAGATGTGAAAACTTGTTACCGATCGGACCTTTGATGCCAATTTTGGATTGATACCCATTATGCACTTTGCCCGAGGTTTGGCTGCTGTGTGCTGTGTGCCTGACGGATTTGGCACAGAACAACCAAGACGAAACACAACATGGCGACATCATTTCACCACGTGTTTTGTATGTGCAGATTGAACTTATGTCCAACAGTGCCATGTGTTGAAGGAGTTGCACGAAAGTGGAAACATCAATCAAAAAATGGCAGCAAAATGGAGCCAAGGGAGAAGCGCTTGACAATTTTTGAGGTCAAATTGGGGAACACAAAAGTTGTCCCAAATCCATGCAGCCTTCCATGGTTTTAATGAGTGAGCACACTACAAAGGAACTCTTGGCACGGGTGGAGCATGCTTTAGGCACTGATCGTCCACAAATATTGGAGAGCCTGAGGAAAAACGGGAATTTGTTGGCTAGAATGCCCGAAAATCTTCGAGCAGATAAAGAGGTGGTCTTGGTGGCTGTTCGCCAATGTGGTTCTGCACTGGAATTTGCCGTGGACCCTTTGCGAAGTGATCGTGAACTTGCATTTGAAGCTGTCAAACAATCTGGTGATGCTTTGAGAGTCTTACAAGATACCTTGAGGGCAGACCGGGAGGTTGTGTTGCAAGCTGTTACAGAGAATGGCAACGCGATGGAGTATGCGGACTCAACTCTTCGAAAAGATCCTTCATTCTTGTTGCAAGCTATAGGTACCGGTGCTGCAGCAGCCCCGGCCGTTTCCTTTGCAGCTGAAGAATTATTGCAAGACAAATCTTTCCTCTTGCAAATTGTTCGACGAAACCCTTGGACCTTGGGATTCTTGCCAGGGACTGTGTGCCGTGATCCCGACATGGTGCGCGAGGCTGTAAACAGGAACGGAAGACGGTGGAATCCGTTGCACCCCAACTGCAAGAGAAATGGGAGAAGTACTTGGGCCCGGATTTAGCGGTATCCACTGGAGACCACCGAGATGTTTGTTCTGCAGTTCTTTCAACGTTTCCGCCGTTTTTCGGCAGGCGAAACCAAAACAGGGCAATCACAAACAGTGATTGTTTGACAGCGGAAATGATTTTTATGACACTTGCAGAGAGCCAACAGCTGAAGGAACCAAAGACAAGTTTCTTGCCTTCGACAAAAAGGAATGCCTTGACTATTGAATCATGTTTTCGTGTCATAAAGGGATGGGTCACCTTCAGTTTGTTGCACGGTCAGTTATTCGGCCGGAGAGTTGGTTCACTCCGCCGCAGCTCATCCAAGCCATCGGAGAATAGTCCTTATTTTGGTATCAATTTTTTTGTCCACACCATATACAGTACATATAGATCTATAATTTCTATATATTTCTATCAAGATACGATACGAACTGTTCATTTTTTCATGTTGTTTTCGTCAACGACGCACAACTTGCCGAACTCAGAAAACTCAGATGACGATGCTGCATGGCTCTTTGCACGTCCACGAGACGCTGCAGGCTTTCGAGGCGCGGTCCGGCAGTTTTTTTTTTCCCAAAAAGTACACAATGTATATATAGGTCATAGGTTTTCTTTTGGATACCGTAGACTCATTGTAGACTTATCGTAGACCTTTTGGCCCCTTGGCAGGCATATGCTGCTTCTCTATATCCGTTGCTTGAGAGTTTGGAGAGCCTTCAAAAGGCTCTGAGGCTGCTGCTGAACCCTGAAAATGTCGGTGGATCTGGGACGGTTTCCTGGCTTATTTGTTTGCAACATGCCACTTCTGGAACATTCACCAGATCTGATTTTTGGATCGACTCTTTCAATTTTCCAGTCTTGTGAGGTGCTTGTGAGCCTTCGTCCTGTTCTGGATAGTGCGGGTCTGAGTTGTGTCAGCTTACGGAGACAAGTTCCGTTGCCTTTGCTCCATTTCCCCACCACCACTACTCACAATGGAACACCGCTATAAGTAGAACTTCCTGGAACATGTTTTCCATGTCCATACGTAGAGAAACAGTGGAAACATGTGTGTGTGTAATCTGTATATTGTGAGCGGATATCAAATTCTACATTTACGCATGTAAGAACAGGTATGTTATGTCATGCAAACTCATATTCTGTTATAGTTATGATTTGCTATGTCATACTATGCCACGCCACGGCACGGCATGTATTCACACACCCAAACGCAAAGATATTTACATATATGTATATGTTCAGTAGAGAGACAAATGAATGTATATGTACTCACAAAAAAGGGTATGTATGGACACACAATGCAGAAACATAGCATCCTTAGCATGTGGGGTAAATCTGGTAAAAGTATGTAACAGTGACAGATTCTCCATGACTCTTCCAAACACTGCGAATGCGAAACAGGATGTAGCATGGATGACGTGGTCAAGTGGTGCTTGGAAAGCGCAGAAGGACCTGCTGCAGTGGCTCGGGCAAGACGCTTAGCTGCTAAGCTCAGTATCAAAGAGATGAAGCAGCGACAAGACGGTTTGACTGTGCAGGTCACTATTTTGGAGCATGTGGCTTGGATGCTTGCATGGCTTGGATGAGTCTTGTGACGCCGTAAAGAGTCTGTGGAATCACCTGACATTCTATTGATGCTGTTGTTTGCAACCATCCTTCATCCTCGCAGGTTGTGTCTACGGCACCACTTGACCCATCGTGGCGTCAGATACTTCTTGCTGAAGCACCAGGATTTCTTGCACTGACTCCGAATTTGGTTTCCACCAAATTTGGACATGTTGCTTGAACAACAGCAAAGTGATCCAACAAAATTGATTTGGCCAATTCGAGTCAGAGTTTTTTGTTTTTCCAGCGACCTCAGGTTCTTGCAGGTCTTCTAACGGAAGATCAAGCATGCTCATGGCTGAAGTCTTTGGGAGATCAAGCTCTCGCTGCTCGTCAAATTATTCCTGGAAACCTCCAAAAAATGCAGCGAGTCTGAGCTGAGTGGCTGAGTCTGAGCTGAGTTTGAGCCCAGTCTCAGGCTGCCCCTGCTGACACTCCTGGCCAATTGGATAGAACTGCGTTGCTCCAGGGATTCGCTCAAGGAGCCACGGCCCTGCTTCAGCAATTTCCCAGTGAAACCATGTGCACCGGAGCTGCATTTAGAGTGTCATGATTCCAGTCATGATTGGGCTGGAGCTGTGACACTTGGGCGGTATGTCTTGGGCCGAGGTTCAGATATATGGCGAGTCGCAGATGAAGCAATGTTCGAATCTCAGGACCGAAGGCTCTGAACTGCATTGACTTGAACAGTGTGCTAGTCTGTCCCCTAGAATGTGATAAACTAATAAACATTAAAAAACAAGCATGAACAGTCGGAGCAATCTCTGTGCCATTGGGTGCAAAAACCGTGAATGTTGATAGTTGTTTGCCATTTGAAATCCAGCCCAAGACCAGATACACTCAGATACACTAGACGGATGTGTGCCATGTGCGCTTCCTCTGAGGCTTGGAGATGCCTCAAGCAGACAAGTCTGTGTCCAAAGACTGTTGCCAAGCTTGGTGGCTTCCACGAGCACAGAGGCAACTGGATGGTCTATTGAGTCTATTGCAAGGGGGACATGATATGACACGACATGACATGACATGACTATTAGGGACAATTCAACTTTATGCGGGTTTGACACGAATCTGTCATTCTAATTGCTTTGCCTTTTGTGTAAGAGGTGGCTGCCAGCCGCATTTCTGGAATGGTGGATGCTCTCTTGCGAACCAGCTGTCGGGAACCTATCCCACCAGCAAAATACATGCAGATTGGACTTTCAGTGATGGGTTTCTCTTCCGCTGCACGTATTGATCAATTTATCACGATTGATCATGAGAGGTGCGCAACACAAGCAGCCCAATGCTGCTCCGACGAGAGAGGCATTGAACCTGGCAGTTGCCTTCTCCAGCTTGCTGGTGGATCATTGGAAGTTGCAGTCTCTTCAAGGACAGATTCGCTTGATACGGACTGGTTATAATATGTGGTTATACTGACACAGCTTGATGGCTGGAGCAGGAGCATCGACATGTCGATTGGACTTGCTCAGGAGACCACAACGAAATTGGAGTCGAATTGATATCAAATGCCTTGCGCTTTGGCCTCAAAGACTGCGGCAGCTTGCGAAAGCAGGCCCGTTTCTTGTTGGAATCGGGCGTGCAGAATCTCAGCAGCGAATGAGATCACTTTATAGATCTCGACGGGTCAAAATATGTCAAAATCGCTTAGAAGTCTTAGAAGGGACAAGGCATGACAAGGCACATACCTAGTGAATCCTAGTGACATTGTCATTGCATTTAAGGAAGGCCTTGGCCTACAAAGAAGCAGAGAGCCAATTTCGCACCGCTGGGCTGAATTTGTCTGCTGTCTCATCAGCATGGAGAAGCTATTGGGAAGCTTGGTGTGAATTTTCCTTTCAACATTTTTGAAGAGTGTGAAGAGTCACCCCTCTTGAGTCCAAAGATTTGTTTACTTGAAACCCTCACACGAGGGATTAGTGCAGAATTCGCAAAATTCTTGGTTGTGCATTTCTAGAACGGGAGGTCCGACATGCGCCGCAGTACGCAAGGAACTCTTCGATACTTTGGAGGATTATTCCAGTCATTTGATTAAGTCGAGCTGGGATGCCCTCAGCTCACGTTTGATGTTTCTTGGCAAACACGTGTTGCACGCTATCAATTGACTATCATGTTTCTCTCGAAGCTGCCGGTGTGCATCCAAATCCTCTGTTGTTTAGCTGCGGCACTGATAGCATCTTGACCTGTGCAGCTGTTAGAGCAATTGAACTATAATTGACTATAATCTAGAAGCCAAAGCAGGTCATCGAAGGTTTTGGCATCAATTCAACCCTCGAGATCCAAGGCAGTACTTGTCTGATCTGCCTAAAGGCGTCACAGCTGCAATTGCTGCAATGGCTTAAGAGTTGTCACAGATTCCCTTTTTTTAAGTTGGAATCGGAAAAAAAACAGAGTATCGGGACTTCCGGGCAGCTCTGCCGGACTCAGGTGCCAGGGATGATTCGCGTCCGCCAGCGGTCTTCAGCTCTTTCTGGCTGGAGGCGTTCCTGGTTCGTGCGCTTGATCATGATAATGACAGTGTGCAGAAGTTTGTGCTGGGGCAGCTTATGTGACCCTTTCCTGCACATGTGAACACAATTCTTGGGTGTCATGCCTGATTTGCAATTTGGGAACATTTGGAAGTCCCTTCTTTCCGGGTGAGTAGAGTTTTAACATGTTTGACCTGAGGCCTAGATCAAAGAAGTGCATGCCTTTCAGAAAGCTTCATCCTGACAGAAGTTCTTCCCAGATTCGGACATGGTATTGATAGCCTCTATTCCCGGACGGATGTCGAGACTTTCGGCCAAAATGAGACCCAAAGGGTGGATCATGGGACAGCGCTCGCAGCTTCAGAAATATTCAGAAACATGCGAAATTCTTCCTCATCTGAGGAGAAACTTTGAGAAGCAGGTGAAAAGCTTTTTCCTTGGCTTCATCGCACAGCATCCAGAATCTGCAGCTGTTGCAGCGACAAGGCCACTGAACCAAGGAGTATTTCATGTAACTCACTTGACACCTGATTCAACACACGAGCTGGAGCCGTCTCACTGAGATTGAGGTTGTTGGAAGCGCTTTTCGATGTCAAAGCAGTGCATTTCACTCCTGTACGACTGGTATTATCTGCATTGCTGGATGTGGAGCTTGATGAGCGAACCTTGACACTGAGTGGAGCGTTGGCCTTGGCAGACAGGCGTGAAACTCTGCTTACCTGAGCAGCAAAGCCGTCAAAAATCATTGCAAAGTCGTGAGATACTTTGTGTCATCCTCAGGTTTTTTAGCCAGGAAATGCTTTTACGACCTTTGGCAGCATTACTAAGGCTTTTGCTCAATGATTGCTCAATGCCTTGGCATCCTTGCCCCTTCCATCCCCTTCCTGTAACTTGAAATCAAGTAGCGGTGCATCTGTGCAATCTGTGCCCAGGAATGCCAGTGAGCATTCGGCAGCTCCTGGCATCCCTTTTCCTTCGAGTGCTCCAGCATCTTACTGTCCGAGACCCTGGGAGCCTTTTGGCCAAATTTGCCAAGACAGCTGCCAACATCCCGGAATCTCGGCAAAATCTTGGCAAAATCTTGGCAAAATCTTGGCAAAATCTTGGCAAAAGACTTTTAATTTCTTTTAATATCTAGTGAGATACAGGACTGCACTAGCCTCATGCTTGGTTGGACACGGACGCAAACGGAACCTCTTTATCCTGGTCTAGCTTCGCCCTGAAAGGGCTGGAAGCAGGCAATATCGCGAAACCTCGAACCAGTTTGAGATTCAAAATGATTCAAAATGTGTACGGGCACATTGGCTGTGGCCGGATATTATCTTAAATTTAACCATGATTAAACTTCCAACATCAACCTTCAGTGCGCATTCCATCGGTAGAGAAGAGCTCGCAAGTGCCAAGACCCTCAGGATGCGTTGCTTCTACCTTTACGAGATTTGCTTGGCAGCCTGGTGCAGACATGCCTTGCCGATGCTGACGCGGCGGCTGGCTCTTCGGCACGCAGCTTCCTAGTAACACCATGTTGCCAACCAGCCCCGGATATGTGACACACTGTGACACATGTACCACTTCCATCCACTTCCACCAACAGAAATAGAGACCCAGGTATTGAGACGCTTTTGAAAAGCCTCGTCTCATCTGATGACCCTTGGTTTGCAGTGATTTGAGTTCTTTGAAAGTTAAAGAAAGAGCGGAGTCATTGCGACTGCGGTGGATTCCCAAGGATTCAATGCTGCCAATGGAAGCCATCCAGCAAGCTTTGGGCGCTGTGCGACTCCTTTGGGCATTGCCTCTGGGGAAACAGGAACGATACAGTGATGCAGCAGTGCGACTGAACATGGAATTGGGAGCTCAACAAAAAGATACGACTATTTCATACGATTTCACAGTTTGATGCTAGATTTGATTGATTGACTTGCATTTTGACGATTTGATTGTTCAACACTGGAATTTGTTTTCGTACAAATCCGCAATTTTCTTGTGCAGATGCAGGATCTGTTTGTGAGCATGGTGTGGCCCGCGATTGTCCGGGCCTTTCCTTCTTTGTATCGCTGCTGAGCCGCTACTGATTCCGTTGTTCCCTGAGGCCCCGGCTCTGCAGGATTTGCACCGGCGCAGCTATATGCCTCGAAAAGCAGCTGTGTCTGCGCTTTTCGTCTTAGCTTACGCAGCCAGTTTGCTTCCTGAAGCTTTGACGTACGTGCAGACCTCAGCAGACATGGCTACTTGAGTGCCCGCGCCTCGTATGTTGGAAATGTTCCAAGGTAGAAACACAACCCGAACGTGGCGAGATCCTCTCTTTTGTGGAGAGCAAAGCAATGATCTCAATCGGGCAAGGGAGGCTGGAACCCTTGGACCAGATTGACCAGATCGGATATGAATCTGTACACACACACATATATATATACATATACATATATTTGATCATATTTGTGTATTGTATATATATATATACATGTACATATTATATATATACATTTATCTTCACAGAGTCAAAATTGTCAGCAGAGATTTGAGATGCTTTTGCTTGGCAGGCCAGACGAAGTGGTGCAAGAAGCGCCATGGGTTTGGCTCTACGCCCTCGTTTTGGAACGGTTTTGGCACCCTGCGTCACAGACTTGCCAGGTGCTTTCGTTCTGAACATTCCTTTGTGCTTTACTGTGCCTTTCCTGCTGAATTCTTGACGTCGAACACCGGTCTGTCCACAATCAATGTCTTCTGTTTTTGAGCTGCAGGTGCTGCTGAGCAAAGCCAAGAACTTGCTTCAAGAGGGAGCCAAAGAAAGGACTGCAGCATCAGTGCCAACTGGCGGCAGGGCTTGGATAGTGGAGGTTATGTTTGCTGTAGAAATTTTGATGGTTGGTCAAGCTGTGGTCGTTCCAGCTCCGCTCCTGAGGCTCAGCAGCATTGCTGCTGCTTCGCTGCTGGGTGCCCTTGCGCCTAAAGTGGACGCTGCCGAACCCTGGCTTTTCAATGCTTTTCATATAGATGAAAGACAGATGTGGATGCCTCAGTATGGAATAGATCGAATGCAAGGCTATCATGAAGCTGACTAAGGAGCAATGTGAAATATTTCTCCTTCTGCGCCAATTTCAAGCGCCAGGAAAGCCAGCAGGAGAGCTTTGTCTGAAACGGTGACACTTTCAGAGAGACACTTGTGTCTTCGGACAGACTAAATCGACGCATGATTGCACAATATTGGACCTCTGAGGTGGTGGACTCCAGATTTGTCATTGGTGTCACAGAGGACAACGGAAGGTGGGACCGAGTCCGATTGGAGGAGCCATAAAGAGAGTGTGAACTCAGTGTGAACTCAGTGTGAACATTGAGATCGTTGAGCAGTTGAACATTTAGATTTGCGTTCGTAGAGTCTGTTTTGCTTGTGCAATGTCCTACCTGAGAGGAGTTTGAGGATCTTCACCGCATGCAAGGTGAAGGTTTAGGTCGCATTCAAGAATGGCGCGATGCATCAGCTGTTGTTCTTGTGGCCAAGTGGCGAGCATTGTCACAAATCGTGGCTTGGCTGCAAAATAGTCACATGATTGAGATATTGAAAGAGAATCAATGTGATTTGTCACGATATTTTTTTCTTTGAGATTTGTCAAAAGCTTTTGCCACTTCGATCCTTCAAGAATTCAAGCCTACAAGGCCTCTTCACCGGGCTTCTACGATAGCTTGTCCGCGCATGTCCATGGTGCCACGGCAGCAGCAGGAATTGCCTAGAAATGCATCCAAGAAACACTGGTCACTGGTACTTTTCGATTCATTCAGACAGGCTGAGCTGCAGGTGACATGGCGGAGGTTGCAACAGATATCCTAGAGGAGCTGGACTCTTTACAAACGCCGCATGTCGCATACTGGGCCATTGTGGCGCGTCGGTTGGCGTATCCGGCGTATTTCCAGCCCAACGTTCCAAGTCCTGCCCTCAATTCTTCGTTTGTGCCGTTGAAGAATTGTAAAAAACTGCGACAGTGCACGTTTTGCATTGTTTTGGTATAGTGATTCAGTGGGAGGTGACAAGCAAGAAGAGACTTTGCAGCAGCTTTGCCGATGCATTCGTGGCTTCATCTCACAAAGCATTGGTGACAGTGCCCTGGCTTCGGTCGTCGTGCATTGTCTACAGCTGTGCTTTCCGAAACCGTCATTGATTCTGATGTTTGGTTTGGGGAGAAAGCCGATTCTTCGTCAAGCACGCATATCATATCCGATCACTAGTACGACGTAAGCGATACATTACGTTCCTTACATCGGAAAGTCTTCGTTCCCTTTGCATTGTGGGAATTCATGTCAGGATGTTCTCGTCACATCCTTTCCCAACATATCCAATCTGGCCTAAGAGATATTGCAGATATTGATGCATCCTGTATCTGGTACCACTGGTACGATGCCACAACGCGTCCAACAAGTCCCGCACACCGAGGTGCTGTCTACATGTCCCGCGGTTGCATGCTGGAGCTGGCTGCTGCACTCTGCGATCCACAGCTCAGAGCAGCAGAGCAGCGTTTGGGAGCCTCGGCGCTCACGGCATCAGTTTCTTGGGTCGCAGAAAGGGAGAGGCAACGGGCAGTATATTATATATACTGTATATGTCAGATATATCATATATATATGTATATCATATATATATATATCATATATATATATATATCATATATATATATCATATATATATATCATATATATATATCATATATATATATGATATATATATATATCATATACATATATATATGTATATCATATATATGTATCATATATATATATATGTCATATATATATATATATTATATTATATATATTACATATATTAGATATATCCTATATAATATAATATTACGGCCAGACGCCTTGTGTTGCCCGGAGATTTACAGGGACGTTCCCGGCATGTTGGTGATGGTGATGATGATGATGATGATGATGATTGAAGATCTTCAATGAATGTAGAAGTTTAACGAGGGTGGGAGAATTAAACCCTTATCGAATATCTTCAATGAATGTAGAAGTTTAACGGGGGTGGGAGAATTAAACCCTTATCGAATATCTTCAATGAATGTAGAAGTTTAACGGGGGTGGGAGAATTAGACCCTCATTGAAGATCTTCAATGAATGTAAGAGTTTAACGGGGGTGGGAGAATTAAACCCTTATTGAAGATCTTCAATGAATGTAGAAGTTTAATGGGGGTGGGAGAATTAAACCCTTATTGAAGATCTTCAATGAATGTAAGAGTTTAACGGGGGTGGGAGAATTAAACCCTTATTAACCCTTATTGAAGATCTTCAATGAATGTAGAAGTTTAACGGGGGTGGGAGAATTAAACCCTTATCGAATATCTTCAATGAATGTAGAAGTTTAATGGGGGTGGGAGAATTAGACCCTTATTGAAGATCTTCAATGAATGGAAGAGTTTAACGGGGTGGGAGAATTAAACCCTCATTGAAGATCTTCAATGAATGTAAGAGTTTAACGGGGGTGGGAGAATTAAACCCTTATTAACCCTTATTGAAGATCTTCAATGAATGTAGAAGTTTAATGGGGGTGGGAGAATTAAACCCTTATTGAAGATCTTCAATGAATGTAGAAGTTTAACGGGGGTGGGAGAATTAAACCCTTATTGAAGATCTTCAATGAATGTAAGAGTTTAACGGGGGTGGGAGAATTAAACCCTTATTGAAGATCTTCAATGAATGTAGAAGTCTAATGGGGGTGGGAGAATTAAACCCTTATTGAAGATCTTCAATGAATGTAGAAGTTTAACGGGGGTGGGAGAATTAAACCCTTATTGAAGATCTTCAATGTGAGTTTAACGGGGGTGGGAGAATTAAACCCTTATTGAAGATCTTCAGTGAATGTAAGAGTTGAACGGGGGTGGGAGAATTAAACCCTTATTGAAGATCTTCAATGAATGGAAGAGTTTTAACGGGGGTGGGAGAATTAAACCCTTATTGAAGAATCTTCAGTGAATGTAGAAGTTTAACGGGGGTGGCAGAATTTATATGAGATGTATAGTGTGAACGAAAAATCCTTGTAATTTACGCTATTCTGGGCTTGGGCAACACACGGTGTCTGTGGGTAATATTAAGTATATATATATTATATTATATTATATTATAATATATTATATTATATTGTATTATATCATATTATATTATATTATATGATATGATATATTATATTATATTATATCATATTATATTATATTATATTATATTAAATTATATGATATATTATATTATATTATATTATATTATATGATATGATATATTATATTATATTATATTATATTATATATTATATATTATATTATATTATATATTATATTTTATTATATTGTATTATATTATATTACATTATGTCATATTATATTATATCATTTTATATTATATTATATAAATTATATACTATATATTATATATTAATATATATATATTATATTAAACTATATATTAAAATTTATATATTATATATTATATATTAGATATTATAATATATATATAATATAATATATATATAATGTATTTGGATATTGGGTGTGTCAGTGTCTTGTCGATATCTACCTTAAGCGAATTGTTGCGTCTTGATATGCTGTCAAAACACGCAAGGTCCGAGAACTGCTTGCCCTTGGTGAAGTTGGCACAGGCTGTTGCAATACTAATACATTTGATTGGCAATCTTGAACTTGTTTGTTTCGCAAAGCTTGCAACACGATCATTTTGGACCTGTGCCTGTTACCTCAAATCATTGCAGGTGTGTCTCGCTCAGTGACAGTGCCATTGCTTGCCACCCTTCTAGCAGAAACAGTTTCGCCAGATGCCTGCCTACTTTTGGTTTTGCAATGCTGCGTTTTTGAGTAGAACATCTTGGCAAAAGTGTTCGACAAAGTGGTACCCAGCCCAGTGTTTCCCACACGTGCAAGGACTGTCAGGCGAGCAGTCTTGCTTCTTCTGCAGACTTGCAACTTAGCTATAATTATACCCATTTAATATTGATATATGTATGATATAAGTTTGTCACTGTTTCCTGTTCAGCTAGAGTGTCTGTGAGGTTGACAGCTTTGCTGATGCATAGCGAGTACACCATCAAAGACGGTGCTTTGTGCCACAGCACTATGCCATGCGCAGGACTGGCACTTAACATGTCATAATTTGTTGCTTTAAATTTGACTTGGAAATGTAGACCAGCAGCAATCCTTCCTGTCCTCTCCTGGAAAAGTGATTGACATTATATGTATATATATACATACATTACATTACATTACATTACATTACCATACATTACCATACATTACCATACATTACCATACATTACCATACATTACCATACATTACCATACATTACCATACATTACCATACATTACCATACATTCCCATACATTACCATACATTACCATACATTCCCATACATTCCATACATACATTACCATACATTCCCATTACCATACATACATGACCATACATTACCATACATTACCAGACATACATACCATACATTACCATACATACATTACCATACATTACCATACATTACCATACATTACCATACATTACCATACATTACCATACATTACCCATACATTACCATACACCATACATGACCATACATTACCAGACATACAGACATTACCATACATTACCATACATTACCATACATTACCATACATTACCATACATTACCATACAATACCATACATTACCATACATTACCATACATTACCATACATTACCATACATTACCATACATTACCATACATTACCATACATTACCATACAGTACCATACAGTACCTTACAGTACCATACAGTACCATACAGTACCATACAGTACCATACATTACCATACATTACCATACATTACCATACATTACCATACATTACCATACATTACCATACATTACCATACATTACCATACATTACCATACATTACCATACATAACCATACATAACCATACATAACCATACATAACCATACATAACCATACATAACCATACATAACCATACATAACCATACATAACCATACATAACCATACATAACCATACATATACATACATACATACATACATACATACAGACAGACAGACAGACAGACAGACAGACAGACACACACGTAGAACTTTGCAGGACAGCTGCAAGTATGCAGGGCAGGATCGCAAATCCAAGTGGATTTCAATATATTTCAACAATTTTCCGGCCACATCGACCACAGATCAAGTTCCTTTTCCAAAGGAGCTCTGGATCCTCACGGACCTGGAGCTTCAGCAGCTTTGAGCTCCACGGTTCCAGATGGAGAAACCCTATCGAAGAAGTTTGGAGGTTTGGATGTTGAAATGGTGTTGAATTTGAAGGTTTCCGTAAACAATTTTTTATGTCCAGAGTTTTTCATTTCACAGGAAAACAGCTGGCAGTTCTGATAGTTTCGCAGGAACCACAGGGCTTCCTCGCATCCTTACATTGACCGCTCTGGATGCTTTGGCCAAGAAGTCAGAAGGCCTTCCTCTCCATGCTTCGTGTTGCTTTCTGCTGTTGCACTCAGACAACATTCAAAATGTTTCATGCTCATTGACAGGCCAGATGCCTGGCATAATTCGGGAGGTCTTGACCAGACTCCTAGGAACACTTCGCACAGAGTTGCAGAGCCTCCTGGACAGGTGGGGATCAACAGCATTTCATGAATTCCACGTAACGTCACCGCAATGTGCCACTCGAAACTGGAGGCCAGGTGGAAACAACAAACCTTTGACTCCAATGCCACTGAGCCCACAGCATCGCCTCCAACTCCGTGGTTGGCAGGCGGGTTTCAACATGGAAATATGTTTTGAAATAAGGATGATTTGTTTCATTTATATTGTTAAACCTCATTGTTTCCATTTTTGGAGGATGAAGCAATGAATTCTAGGAGATTTGTGAGATTTGTTGGTGAAAGGCAATCTTGATTCTTGGATGCCACGCGAAGAACGACAAAGAAACTGCAGAAATGCTCCTCTCAGAGCTCTTCTGGCACCTCAGGCAGGGGATTGCGTGATTGTGAGGGTTGATCTGTCAAGGCAAGGAAGGCAAAGAGGTTACATTTTGGTGGAGAGATGTTTGGGTCTTGCCGCTGTGAGAATCTGCGCGAATCAGAATCCTACTGACTCTGGGCATGAACAGGACTCCGCATCTTCCAGATGTGCGTTGGGGATCTCAGAAGCACCAAATCTGGAGTGTTTTTGAAATGTACAAGGACTAGGCTGAACAGTATCCAAGGCTGAACAGTATCCAAGGCTGAACAGTATCCAAATCTTCCTTTCACTACCAAGGTGACTATCAAGAACTTCTCGGCTGCCTTCTCTGTGCTAGTTTTCAAGATCTAGCAATGCGACACCTGGTCCCTGCATTGGGCCGGTATGACTGTGCCTTGGATTATTGGTGCACCTTGTCCTTGGTGTCTTCAACTGAACTGTTGCGAAGAACAGTGCTACTACAAGCGAGGCAACAACCAAGTCAGTGCGTCTCTCTTGGCCGGGTGCCAAGTAGTCACAGGATGTCACAGGATGTCACAGGAAGATTGAGCTGTATGCAGGTGAGTTTTGTGAGAATTTCGCTGTGAGTTTTGTAAGTTTCCTAAGGTCATTTGCAGTTTTCTCTTCCGCCATTGGATTTGTCTTTCAGCTCCGCCGCCCCATGCTGTGCAGCTGCTGGTGGCAGTGGTGCCGTACCTGGGGCATAATTCTGCATATGTTCGAGGCTCTCAGCATTCCGTTGTCGTGGGTTTCTGTGAATAACATAGGTTTCATAGGTCTCCTGACTCTTTGGCTCGGTGTGGTGTGTCGCCTGTCAGCTTTCGTAGGCACAGCTTCCTGGGGATTCTACGAACTGATGGAAGTTGCGAAAGCCAATGGAGCCATTGAAGTTGGAGAGGAGTGCGGCAAGCGACTTGGATGGTACTATTCAGCGTTTAGCGCTCCGTGCGGTTTGTCATCATATCATATGGGTGTGTCGGAAAATGGGCAATGCCCCAGGAAAAGAAGTTTTAATGGGTAAAATGACGAGAAACCATGGTAGTTTGGGATATGTAGCCTCAAAACCATATTGGTACTGACTCAACTGACATTCAAAAGATGGTGTTCCCAGATTCTGCCAGATGCTTCCAGGCTACTGCTCGATTTGCATCGATTTTTGGCCACCAACCGTGAATGCCAAAAGATGCGAAGACGATTGCGACCCATCTACCAATCCTATGACACCTCGAAGCTCCGCGTCAAAAAAAATTGCTGAAAAGAGCACCGCCAGAGATCTTTGCAAAGAGAACTTGAAATGGTGAATCCCGGTGAATGGTAAGTCAGACTCAATTACAGCTCCAGCTTTGCAGGACAATATAGGACAATGTTGAGCTGCAACAGAAGTTGAAGTTAGCTGATTTTTCATAATTTTTCTTCAGTGGCCAATGACACCTGCTGGGTTTGGCCCAGATAGAAGTATATAGTCTTTCCAGGTTCATGATTTTCAACCTTCTTCACATAAAGTAGCAAATTACACAAAACGCAACTCTTAGGCCTGCCATTCGTTCCTGCAAGTTTTCTGTTTTGTTGATTTTTGTTGTGGATATCTCGAAATTATCAAGTTTGCTAACGAGATGCGAAACAAATCTGGAGGCAGTACTTCGTACCTATGAAGTTGAGATAGTTGAGGCAATAGGAAGTCTATGGAAGTCTTAAGTTCACCTGAGAAGAGAAGCTCCTTTCAGTTGTCGTCAAGTTGTCGTGTGAGGTCTGCATTGGAGGCGTTGACGCAGCTGTCAGAAGTCCTTCCATCAGCTGAAACTGAGAAGGAGATCTTGCAGCCGTTGCACATCTTTGCAAATGGAGACTTCAAGACGCGTCCTTGGATCTTTTAGATCTCTTGGATCTGTTGAGTCTTTTAGATTTTTTAGATGCCTTGGTTTGGGGGGACAAGATCAGTAACTATAGCTGGTGCAGTGATGTCTCTCCCAAGGCCTTCTCACACGTTTTTGGAGCTGCTGAAGGAGGAGGTTGCAAAGGAGCCTCGGAACACTGAAGCTTTTGGTGTGTTATTTCGGCTTGTTCCTTGGGCGTCTTATTATTAGTATTGGTATATTATTGTATTGGCATTGATTTTTATTGCTGTTTGATGAATTTATATCTGATCCCATTTCTTGACAAACCTCAGAACGCTTCACAAGGAGATGGAGAGCATTTTCGAGGGAGAGGATGCAAGCCAATACGCTTCATCATCTGAGCACTGGCAGGCGGGTCCCAAGGGTCCCCCATCGGCAAAAAAAGGCACCAGAGCTGTCGAGTCGCAGCACAGGAAGCTCAGCTTGCAGCACTACGTGCTGTCCAGCAACTTGAAGGCGGACCATGGCGATGGTTGCAGCCTTCACATGTGATGAAAGCCTTTTGTCACAGTCTGGAACATGGGGGAATTCATTTGTGAAACATGTGCTTTTTGAAGGTTGCACGTCATATCCCTATTGTTCTGTGAACTGGGTTATCCTCTCCATATTCAATCCCTTCAAACAATAATCGTTGGATACCATTAGAACTACTATATTATAATAGTGACGTTGATATTATAGTTATGGCCCTACGGCACCTCACCTTCCAGTTGACTGCCATGTGTGCATGGACAGGTTCCAAAGATGAAGTTCCAGATCTTGTTGCCGTGGATGCTGCGGGTGGAGCATCAGGGTTGCTGCTTGGCTTCAACGTGACCGCATGATATATGAGAATGGGGTACACCCCCAAATGGCCATTCGGTAAGAAATATGATTCATGATGATAATTTGTTAATCCCTGGGATTTTTGGAATGTCCTATTCTCAGATAATGAATATGATTTCAGATGTTTTGATCAGCGCAGAGAACAAAGTGCTGTTGAAGTTCACGCTGCGGAGGCAACGAAAGTTTGTGCCTCCAGCGCCGCCACGTTTGCCAGATGATTCAGGTTCGCCCGATGTCGTGCTGGACGGTGTTGAATTCACGTAGATCAGATGCCTGGGGTGTGCAGGTAGCATTTCGGTATCAAAGCGTGCCCCTTTGTTGGTGCTGGCCTCTCTTGCTGCTTGCCTAATCAATTGGTTCTTACTGTATGTCTTGAGAGCACATCATGTTTTGATTCTATCCCACCGAGCTGAGTCATTCTCAAATTCTGAACACGTGTGAGGTTGACAAATTGCCAAACTTGGCTGGTCTGTGCCGGACGTGCGAAGTCTTTCATTGTGAAGCCTTATGTTTGCCGAACTTGAAGGCTTGGTGGGCATGTGGGCGATTTTCTTTTGCATCCACAGTGCAAAACGTCCAGTGCTAGCTCATAGGTGAATGATATTGATGAAGATCAATGCAGATCAATGCATATTGTAACCGTGTTGTTTCCATTTTGTTTCCCTCCTAAACTGTCAGGGATTCCGCTGCCAAGCGTTCCAAGGTGACGTCGGAGCAGGCCTTCCAGTCCATCTCCGTGACAGCTGAAAAATGGCTGCCGCTGCGAGGAGTCTGTAGCTCAAAACCTGAGAAGTCTTTGCTTAACGGCTTAACCGCGTCAAAGATTTACAGAGAGTGAGGGTACCCTAGGAATTTCGGAAGCAAGGAAAGAATGAAGATGTAGATGATGTAGACCATCTCAGATTGTCAGATCCATGCAAGCGCTTCAAACAGAAAGATGGTCACGTTGCTGAAAGATGTTGCGTTGGATCTTCAGCTCGGTCGATTCACTTGAGGTACCCAAGCCGAAGCTAAAGGAAGAACTTTTGAAACTTCGAAAAAGTGGATACGCATTGGTGGGTGTAGAACAGACGCACACCAGTGTGCCGTTGGACCAGCACTCGGCTCAGACGGGGGTGAGATATCATGTGATATCATACATAACCGGCATTGATTCCCACAGGTTCGTTTTTGGATGTTTTTGGCATGGGCTGAGGTGGAATTTTTCCGAGAACACAGCTATTCTCCTAGGTGCCGTGCGCAGGTAAAGTGGAAACAGTGGCAGTGGCGATTTCTACCTTTCCTGCGCGTCGCTCAGGTGCCGAAAAGGAGGGCATTGATGCAGATCTGTTGCCACTGCTCGATGGTTGCGTGGAGATCCCACAGCAAGGTCAGCTGCGATCCTTGAATGCGTGGCACCCTAGTTAGGCCCTAGTGCCCTAGTGGTTTCGCAGCTTGTACAAATATATGGTGATGGGTCAAACAACCCTGTACCCCTCAGGAACATTGAAATGGGGGGCAAATAGATGTTCAACACTGACAGCACCCAAAGCTAGTAGTTTGGGTTTTGACCGATGCCACCAGATGTGGCAGTTCATTCACATTCCACCCAGTCCATCCCAGTCCAAGAACCTCAGCATTTGACTTGGTGACTTCCAAGGTTCATGTCAGCGGATCAATTGTTATTTGGGAGTACGTTCGCCAGGCCATTACTGGTTAATCGTATCAATCGTAAAGAAAGGATCGCTTTCTTTGGTGCAAGATGTGCAAGTCGTAGATGTCGGAGAATTCTTCGGCAAGATTCACATTCTCAAATTTTCTCAAACCCAAAGCTGAAGGCTTAACGTTTTGCCCTGTGACATGAAGTGCAGGCGCGAAGCCGCGCTGTAACAGCGAACACTTCTGACACCTTGACAACCTAAGCTTAATCTCAGCAGACAGCTGTTTTGAAAGTTTGCTGATCGACCGATCGCAGCGAGTTGCGAAAAGGATGATCAGGTGCAGACGGTACCTGGTTTTGCGCGGTTCGTGTATTTGTGGAAACAACCATCAATGAAGTCCAGAAGTTGCTGCAGTGTTGAGTATGGCTCCGTGATTCAATACCCAGATTGCGCATGAAAGTCATCCTTCCAAACACTGAGAGCCTTCACATGCTGAAACTTGAGATTCCAAGAGCACATACACCTCAGAACTTCACTCAGAACCTACCTGGAACCCGGTATTGCTATATTTTGCTGAGTCCCTTTCTGAAAGCCTGAAGCCATTTTGCTATGTTGTAGGCAGTGCTTGTACCTCCATTGTCCGCAAGAACTGTGAGCTTCCCTCATTCGATGCCATGGAGGACTATTGTGGAGACTTAGTTGAGGTGCGCATCCTAAGACAACTCATTTTTTCTTTTTTTGCCACGCCTGTTGGTGAGCAGTCTGCTATTTAGCTGTGATTGTTGATATTTTCCCCTCTTTCAAAAAAAGAAATCAGATTTTTCAGAAGTGTTCAGCTAAGCTGAAGTAGCTTGGAAAATCTTGTAAACACCTTTGTGACTGGACAGGAAATGGAAAACTGGTTGTCAAGTGATGACTTTGACCGCTGAGAACTCAGTTTTCGCTTCATTGCACCACTTCGCTAGTCGAAGCACCGAGCATCGAGGCGCATGGCGTGAATGCTATGCGCGTGCCACAGATGTGCAGAATGGGTTCCTTTTCATCCTCTTTTTCCTTGTTTTGACCGTATGTTCCACCACTTGCACTCAGGACCGCGCTTGCAAGGGGTCAACCGGACGATCAGACAGAAACATTTCTGAGGCACTTTATTTTGCTCAAGCTGCGTTTGTTTTGCCACCGTTGTGATTGCAAGCGAGCTGCGAATGGCGGAACTTTTGCCAGACGCTTCTTCTGCAAACAGCTGCCAGCTTACACAACCACTTGCCTCTTGGCGCGCCAGGATCCAAGAAAGAGAATGAAATCATGCTGTTGGACCTTTTGTCATTTTGCACTGCTCCTCACTTGCTGAATAAAAAACAGGTTGGAGCGAATGATTCCAGCACCTGATGCGGAGTTTCTCTCTCAGCGAGTCTGACAGCTTGACTTTGAACTAAAGCTTGGACAATGCAGGATTTCTGACATGGAAACAGGGTGAAGGAAGAAACCTTTCCTTCAATATGTCCTTCCAAAATTGGCCACATTATTGAGGTTCGTGAGGGGAGCCCTCGAAGCAGTGGGTGTTGAAGACCCTCGTCGAGCTGGTCTACAGGAGTGAAGTCTATCCAACATTTCAACCCTTTCCACAATTCCTAGGAGTCTTATCCTCTTCTGCTTGCACATCATCCTGCGCCCTGCTGGGCCTTCATACATTCAGAGAGCCCTGGAGATCTTGACCAGGACTTGGAACACTTTGAAGCAGCACTGGTGGTGGTGCACGTCTCATACATGCTCTGCACATTGGGTTCAGATGCAGTGCAACTGTCGTGTGCAACAGAAACATGCCACACCATGCTACACCATGAGTGGCATTAAACCCAGGTGTACACGCATTTGGCGCACTGCGCTTCTTTATTGGAGAGTGAGATGCCAGGACAGGAATGCAGCGTGAATTTCAAAGCCAAGATTATTATTTTTGATTTAGAAACGAAGAAAACATTCTCAAAGACAGTTTTCCCTGGTCGAAAGGCAAGTACAGTAAGTGCCATGCATTTTCAACAGCAGCAGGATAGATGTTGTGCAGACTTTGAGAGCTCATTTACTTGTGCAAAACATCCGGACACTTCGAAATTCGCAGTTTGTACAAAACAAGACTCCATCAAGTAGAGATGCGGTCTTTGCCTAGTAACCCTAGTAGTGCATTTGCTCTTGCAGTTTTCATGGTGAAGAAACCTGTGACACTTCAGGCTGAGATTGTATAATGATTTGCATTTCACAAAAGACCTTTGGTTTTCCTAATTTTCTGCTTGTGAGGAATGGCTCATGCTATTCTGACTGGAAAGATTGACCCACGAGGTGCATGACCAGCTGTCCATAAGTGCAGCGGGTAAAACAGGGCATCCTTTCTTGGGGGGAGCTGGTGTACTCGTATTCTTTTGGAGTGGCAAGCGCTTCATTTCGTAGTCTTGTGGCGCATTGTGAAATACATGAGGACAT